GATTTGGCGAAAGCACTGTAAGCCGAGGAGTTTCACGTGTTTCCGTCCGCCATAATGGATGAACTACAGAAAAGGATCTGACTGCAGCAAATAGTGAGCAGAATAAAGTGCATTTTAGAATCAAATAAAAAAAAACACTGAAAAAAAAACGGGAGAGAGACAAAACAAAACAAAGATGGAATAAGAAACCAGAACGAACGAGGCGACACTTGCATGTTTGTTGCCTTAAGAAACTTCAGAGAGTGAAGACGCTTCGAAAAATTTGATATTTGCTATAACAAATATAAATTAACATGTTCCGACGCAATTGTTCGATAATATATTAAACAAATAACAGTAGCCTCACTCTATGGAGATTGGAAACACAACAGAAAAAAGGATATTTTCCAAAGGCTGAACAAAGAAGTACCAAGTGTAACGCTCTGCTGCGCCAGTTTTGTTGTTTGATCGATTGTTGACTGTTGCCCGTCCCAAATAAGCTTCGGGTCGGGCCCACGTGGTGCCTCTTCTTCTTCACCAAGCTGTGAAAAGACAAAAGTTTTATCAAGCACAATCAATAAAAGCGCATTAGTAGGCTGAATCATTTAATCCACCACAAACTTCCAACTGAAATTCCATGGCTGTGCAAATGAAGCATGTAAACATTCATGATTTCCACCGATTTTTTTTTTTTCAAACAACAGTCGCCTCGCTCAAATTCTTCGATTGATCGTGGTTCCATCCTAGCATGCCTTCACACTACTGATAGAGTTGGTAGTTTTAACGGTTACTTTACCAAAGTTGTGGCTATAGCTTAACCTATTGGTGACCCCTAATAGGCCGTATTTAAGCTTTCTTCCCTCCTTTTCCGAGTAAAAGCGGATAACATAATGATCAACATAAAAACAGAAACTACCTTTTTACCAATAATAGTCTGCTCAGCACCATGGCCAAAAATATCCGTACGACGCTCTGCGAATTTGCCAATATTCGTACTGATATCAGCTCCAGGCGCATAAACTGGTTCCTCCTCATTTCGATCCGATAATTCCCTACGAAAGATGAATTATGAAATGCAGGTGAAAACAAACCCAAGTAGTAATGCCCACCCAGTTTGCTAGTGTGATTGTCTTATACAAATCTTGAAGCAATCAGACTGTTAACAACATAAATGTTTAACATGTGCACTCATGTTAACAGTTTTTGGTCCTTTACCGAATAAGTTGGAGGGGTGGCGAGAAGGGGAAAAGGAGGGCTGAAGTTCGAAGGTTTGACTCTGTCAGCTCGACAAATCAATCCCTTTGTGAATTCAATCCTTCGACTCGATGGCAGACAAGTATTGGCACGCGTCAGAGAATCAAACTCGCCATCACCTTTCTAAGCAATCATTAGAAGAAAGAACCATCAAAATATTTGCCAGCGGATGATTGTTGAAGGGCTTGCCATCACTGAGGCCATTTTGTGGGACAGAAATGAAAGCTATCTCAAATATGGAAATTCATGTAAAAGAACGTAGAAAGAAATTTTGGGCAATTTCAAATTATTAAAGCAAAAAAAAAAAATTCACGCATGTGTTGTTACCTTTCACGCTGCTCTTTGTACTGCGAGTCCACAGTGTTGTAACGCATATGTTCCTGAAGTTTGTCGGCAGGTATTCGTTCACCAGTTAATGGCGAAATGATCCATTTGTCGGCCGCTTTTCTGGCAGCAATAGCTGAAAGCACGCCCAAACGTGAGTATAAAAGATTCCCCATAACTGTCCAGTGAGAATTCCCATGAATTTTGCCTATTCACAACGTGTCACGACCCTGTGCAGGCGTGTCAAAAGACTTCAAACAAAATTTTGTTAATTTTGCTTAGTTTGATATCCTAATCAATTGCAGTTTCGTTCTAGCGCAACTTCACGGGTCAAACAAAAATGGCAAACTTTGCAAAAGCATAGTTTTGTCTGAAAGGTAAAAGAATCATCTGCCTCGAAAGAAACGTACATTTCTTAGGATCGTACTCTCGGATCACCACAGTTTCTTCAGATGGTGGCACTGGCACTGGCTGATTCACCTCATACGGGGCTTTCTGTGGCTCCGTTTTCTCTCCTTCTTCATTTTCAATCTGCAAAATTGATCCTTAATTTTACCAACAAAACCAGTCCTGTGACTATGAAATATTAAGAAAAACAGCCTTTTAAAAAATAATCCTCCCTCCTCCTTACAATTGTGGCTATCTGGAAAATCAACTTCGCCCTGAGAGTGAAGGACTGCAACGAGTTGTCTCACTTCTATCCCCCTAGAACAGAAAATAGGTCAGAAGATTACAAACTATCAAAACCCAGGCAGCAGCGTACTAGGCTTAGCGGAAAAGCCATGAGTTTTTGCATGATTCCATCTTGTAGAGAGATCGTCACTACTGTTTGTACATTTGATGCGCCTGTATGTAGAGCTTATGCCTGAAGCTCAGCCCACACAAACAGCAAACGCATTCAGAAAAATAATTTTTCCTGTTCAGTTTGGTCACCGAGTTAATCCTTCAGTCCCAACAGTATCCCTAATTCGCCTGCACGCGCCGTGAAATCTATGCGTGCTTTAAAGCTGAATTTTAAATATTTAGATCGCACACTGCATTGAATATCCTCGCAAAGTTTCAGTTTCCTACCATGGCTGGCTGGCGTTATCGTTTTTCTTTGCAACTACCTTTGTCATGTCTGGAAGCGTGGTGCAGGTGCACGCCAAAGTTTAACTTATGCCTACGAGTCCATGTATGGGAACAAATACACTTATAAAGCAAAAGCGTTCTGACCAGCTTAGTCAGAGATTTCGTAATCTCAACTTTGACGTGTAGTAATCCCATCTTTGTGTGAGTGGACATGCGTTAAAGCTAAATTTGGAATCTGCAACTTACACAGGAACATGCAAAATCCCTACAAAATTTCAGTTTCCTATCTTGCTGGTTCCCGAACTCGCTTTTCCACCAAAAAAATCAAGTTTTCTCTCAGGAGCCCGTACATGAGACTAAGCGTACTTAGATGACAATAACAAAACGAGACGCACACGGAATGGGAAAATGCTCCAAATGTTTCAGCTTACTAGCATCTTTAGCCAATGAGTTAAAACTAGCGGCAAAATGTGAACACAAGAAAACACACACATACGCAAAATCATAAACACACACAGACAACCTCTTGTCAATATAAATTTTTGCATTTGCACAAATACGTAAAAGTACATAATGAAAAGTGCTTAACAAACACGAGGAAAACTCACCTCATTGTTGATTTCTTGATGTTCCTCATCTGAGTCGGATTCGACGTCCATCTCCACTGCCTCTTCTGCTGCTGCTCGAGCAGCCGCTTCCTGAAGACAAAAATTTCGTCCTCATTAGGCATATACAGTAAAAGTGGATCAAAAAAATTCAATATTGTGCAGGCCACTCACAAATATCGCTGAAATCATCAGCGCCAAGTCCCTCATATTACTGAGATAAAGGTAAGCTGAAATTCTGCATTCCAATTGTGCCATATTTTCATTACAAGCTGTCATCCAAGGAGCGGCAGTGGCATGTACTTTCTAAGCCAGCCGACGGAAGAAACCGCAGTACAGGGAAACAGAAGTGGAGGAGCATCTAGCATTAACCACAAAATATGCATAATATATACTAGTCTCCGTTTCTTGAAGAAAAAGCTGGTATACGTCAAAAGTCCACTGAGTTAAAAAAGTGCGAAAAACATTTCCTTTGCTCACTTTTTTTTCTAAAAAAAGTCCCTCGCCAACACCATTAACGGCACCAGAAAGTCACTGGAAAAAAAGCACGCGTGGAGGTGCCTTCCCGAAATGTCAGGAGCTGCCATGCACTAATTAACTGCAATTTTACCATTTTAGCAAGTCATATGTCTAAATGTAAGTAAGTGAAATGAAAATATTGTTGGATTTATTTCATGAATAAAAAAGAATTGCCTGTCGCTGCTGCATCAGAATTCTTGCGCCAACATCTTTTGGTGTGCAGAACG